TAACTAGACAAAGGCCGAAGCACCATAGTCACGCAATACAGCACAACGTACCAAATTGTAACTAGTCAGATAGAACGGCCTTTGGCCAAAGTCCTACATAGCCAACGGCTGATACAGGACTATAATGGAATAATAATAATAGTAAGAAAGTACAATGTAAGTTAACTACAGCAAGAGTAAGTAATAAAATCTATCTATCCTGATATCCTCATTACTTCTAGTCCCAACATCCAGCCAAGTCTTCAACATCTCAGATGTCGTTAACATCCCCAGATGTCCTGTCTTGGCGAGATGCCAATCACGTGATCCTTGCGCCCCGCAATGATCAATACCTTTCGACGTGGCCGGTGTTGAACCTCAACCACCCATCCCGTCGGAGGGTAGGAATCCTTCTTGTTACTTGTAACAGTAACGTTCATCTCAGCGCGTGAAAAATAACCAATCGGATAGTAAGGAACATGCTCGTCCATACGACCCTTGCGACCCGATTGGTTGTTACCTTATATAATGTTTTTCATCACGTAGACGTAGACGTGATATAGTTTTTTCGCTAGATTTTAAACAAGCAATAACTGCAAGAGGAACGTTGATATGCTTAATTTGGGATAGTTGCAGCGTGATTGCGATGGTGGAGTGGAGCGGACATTGAGCAGTCCCGTATATTAGCCCGTCTGGTACGGTATGTGACATTAGATTGCTACAATTTAGACTTCCATGTACCTAAGGCCAATGATATGCGGACTACCTTATACTTTTCTCGGAATTATTCTGGACTTTACTATCTTCCTATTGTGCTTTGGGATATTTTCTAGCACGTGGACCAAGTCGACATGGTATTTATGCACTATGGTGAAGTTGTCGGACAACTCAGGCCGACATGCCTGACCTAGGAGTATGCACTCTAGTCCATTTTGACGGTATGTCCTATCGCAGATTTGAGAAGTACTCTATCACTTTAATCGACTTTATATACCCATCAGATTACTATGTCCATAATAGCTTCCTGGCTTGTTAATCCAGAAGTGAACGCGGAGTCTATAATTGCTCGAAGTCCAAACATGAAGAATTACAGCGAGCTTGAGGGTGAGAACGTGCTTCTTTTCATTTTAAGACACGACTCGAAACGCTAGTCTATGATATACTGGCCCGTAAAGCGTAATATAAAGATCCCGTGATGTACCATATTTCTCCTTGTTACATATGACTAGTTACACCTAAGCTGACAGTTTATTGGCTTGCAGCAACGAGCCGAACATTTCGATTCCGTCTTATAAGCGCTAGTACCCGAGCTGATCCGGCTCATAAACGCTAGTACCCGAGCTGATCCGGCTCTTTTATAAATATCAGCAGGGCGCTCGAAATTATTGTTTCATGCTTAGGCTAATTTTTCAACATTTAGCATTGTAAAACAGGTAACCATGATTTCACTTGTGCAGGGAGTTGCGCTGGTAACGGGTGGAGGGAGAGGTTTAGGCAACGCAGTCGCAACCTCTTTCGCACAACACGGATGTCAAAAGATTGTCATTTTGGACGTGCTTCCCAATGATATCATGGAAACGGCCAAAGGGGAACTTGAAAAGCTTGGAGTCGAGGTATGTATGATACCAAACACACAAGCCACGGTTCTTCTTTTCACCAGACGTGCTCTAGCTGACTTGATTAAACAGGTATTGACGCTCGATTGCGATGTCTCTGACGAGGCTGCTGTGCAACAGGCTGTTCAAGCTGTAGTTGATAAATTTGGTCGTATCGATTTTGCTGTGTGAGTGTAGAGCCGTTCAACCTGAATATGTCTGTTACAGAACTAAAGGTAGCACTAATTAACAGCAACTGCGCGGGCATAATTGGGCCTCACCAAACAACTGACAGCATGGACATTGATGCCTTCAATAAGACGATACGAATTAATACAATCGGCGTGCTTACTTGTATGAAGTATCAAATTCAGCAGATGAAATGTCAAGAGCCAATTAAGCTGTACGTAATTTCAGTTAGGATTAACGAGTATATACCCTGATATCTGATGTTATAACAGAGCACATCGCGATTCATCCCAACGTGGTGCGATTGTGAACTTCGCATCCGTCAACTCTATACTTGGGTCACATAGTATCGGTGCATACGCTACATCCAAGCATGCCGTTCTTGGCCTCACCAAGACAGCGGCACTCGAAAATCGGGACAAACAAATTCGGATCAATTGTTTATCTCCTGGATACATCTGGAGTGCGATTGCAGAGCAGACAATCAAAAGAATTCCAGAATCTGTGGCTAAGTGGAATGATAGCCAGATGCGACAAGGGCGAACCTGCTATGCAGATGAGATTGGTGATGCGACTGTAGCTCTATGCAGCCCGTTGTTGAGCATTGTGAATGCTCACAACTTAGTATGCGATAAGTACGTGAAGCGATCGCGAATGATATTGATCTTTCACTTTTTTAACATAGTACTAGTGGTTTCACGCAGACAGCCGATCGGGGTTAGGTGTTACACGGGGTTGGGTGCTGATACTTCTCTANGCTCGATCCGGGTTAGGGCGAGTGAGTTGGTGTGAGGAGC